AGACATCGAGAGATTATGATCATACTTGGTTACGTCTGTTCTCAACATAAATTAAACTAACATCAATAAAACCGCCTGGAAATTCAAAAGATGTGTGCAGGAGTCTGGTTATAGATCAATGTGCACCTGACACAATAGGTAGCAGCAAGAAGAGAAACAAACCGAGACGCACTTACCATCCACTACTTTCTCTCTCCTCGAAGCTCGCACGGATCTGGTATTCTTCGCAGTTGTCGCTCTTCGGCGTTCAGTCAATCTAAGAGGTGCATTTGGCGGCGCCAAAGGCGGTGGCATCGTTTGACCCGTGTGCAGCGCGACTGCAGTGTCCCTGTCGGGCATCATGATTGTTGTGGGATCCGATGGCGGTTGGGCCTCGCGTAAAATACGTATAGCATTCGGTCCTGTTCGGTTGCACGTTTCCGGACTGGTGGTTAGACCTTCAAGTGCCTTAAGTAGTGCTTCGGTATCATCTGACTCAATCTCCTAATATGGGATAAAAGCGAATTATCTGTGAAAGACCACGACACCTTTATGTAAAGTTTCTAGCAACTATTTGTGTCACCATGACAAATGGAGTCGAAACAAAGAAAATCCCATCAATCCTAATTGGTCGATGATGGCCAAGCGGTTAGGTCATCAAATTGTGACCCGGAAGTCCCGGGTTCGAACCGCTCCACTGCCGCCCGTCTTCCCTATATCTGTATTTCCCCAGACAGCCTTTGTATGGCTGCAGCTCCTTTCCTGACTGTACATTTATATATTCAATAAATAAAAAAAGGAAGTAAAATACACTTGTTTATACATTCTATTATTTTATAAAGACTAAAACCGTTTGAAAACTTGTAATTGTGATGAAACTTGTACAAGCTAATCATAAACGCAAAATAAGTAGGAACTTGCTTTTTATGCTCGTGTTTTACTCCTGATCGACAAAATTCGCGCGTACATGCAGTCTAGTCTGTTCGAGGTAATCAAGAAGATGGAATTTCCGGTTATTCGATAAGTAGACCCAATTGATCGGTTTGGACTTCAGGCCTAAATCGCTAACAGTAGAATACCGGACAAGACGGAGTTAACACGACAGCATATGAATTGCGTGATCCGCTAATTTGTGATTTATTCAAAGAAACCTTTCCCATACTATCTTGATCCCAGTTTGACAATATGGTCAAGGTATTCTGCAATGCACTCTGCGAAAACGCTTTTAGAACATCGAATACGTAAGTGCATAATGCAGTGAATTTTCGCTGGTAAGTAGACCTGTGGCTGTCGGAAAAGTTTTAATGTGGAAATTAGTATACTTGTTTATTTATATTTTCATATAAAATTAATTACAAAATATCGAATTAAATCATATGCGACCTAGCTTGATAAGTTAAAGTTCAGTATTTTAACTAAGTCAGTTGTGAGTGGTGATGTGGGATAATTAACTGGACTGACTATCATTCACACTTCATCTTTATGCGCAATTCTCAGTTCATCCAGCCAACCAGACATTCAGGAAGCACTAGATTTGAGTTTCTCTCTTGTAAGAGTTTATTAGTAGTGTGTACCTACCCGTTCCGGAAAAGAATGGAATCGGAATGAAGTTAAGGGATATTACACTCTATTACATTTGATGTTTGATTCTACTTTTAACTTTTCTGTCTTTCTCCTGTTGGTTCATCTAAATAGGCAGCCAAAAGATAGGAACGAAACCGCCGCATGAAATTGGATGGTTAATGGTTGTATAAACTGAACTGAACTGATACTGTATGCATTGATGTCGGATTGAAATGAACCGACTATCAGTAAAGACAATTTGTGAACAAATTTGAATTGGTAACTCCTGCCAGCGGGAATGATTGTTTGGCACAATGGCAACACACGCGCATTTTATGCAAGGGAATCGCGGTTCAGCTCCCAGACAGGAAGGTGGATATGCACTATTGGTGAATTTTAACAAGAGCGAAATGCGAGTCTAGTGTTCCCCGAACTTTTAGCTGACTAGATGAACTGGGGATCATGCGTGAAGATGAAATCTGAACGGTGGCTAGTTTAAATCTATTTTATATTTATCGTAGAACAACACTGACCTTCTTCGATGCATTGATGTCTGAAGTTGATGATATTCTCGTCGCAATCGGGAGGTAATGGACGACCGAAAACAGCTGCTCACGAACTAGGTGTGTCACTTCGTCCAGCCAAGGCCAATAAGCTCCGTTTAAGATACGCACGATGCACCGAGAAATCGGCTGACATCCCACACTACATGCATCATGATCAAATCGGTGGTACAATTCATCAACGACGGGATCCTGTAGGACATGATTGCACACATTTAGTGGACGGCCACTGATCAACGAGGCTAACTGAGGTGTGGAGGGAAAATAACTCTGAACAATGCCGCTCATACGTGTTGGGCTACATGGGAAAATGTTGGCAAACGCGTTTGAATTCGCGGCCACCAGTGGATTAGCAGCGACGGAAAGTGCATCCGCTGCAGCTATATCGTCCCGCGAGTCTGAGTTTGTTTCCGATCGGGTGAAACGGGTTACTAACTGGCTGGTATGAAGGAAATCCCCTTCATCCACTCCATCATTATCACCTTGGTCAGGACTGTGGTCTTTTCCACATGAGGAACTTTTGCGGCGGCGATCCTGTTCCCGTGCGATTTCCTCCAATGGAATTTGACAGGTAAAAAGATGGTTGAGCTGCCGCAAACGCAACTCGAATGCCCATTTACGTTGGGCGAACAGTTCGACGTGTGCCATCAGAGAAAGCGCAGTCTGTGCACTGGAACCAGAAGTGGCAAAAAGCGACGTAACTGAAACTTTTATTAGGTCCATTAAGCTTAAAAAACTGCATAGGATTCACTCCCCATTTAAAAAGTAGTGAGAAACAAATGATCGGAACTAGTTGCCTTATGTGGTTCACCACAAGTTCAAGCAGTAAGTCCATGTTGCTATGGGGTTCATCCTTTATGCACCATGCCATAGAAAAATACGAATTCGAAAGAACAAGTCGAATTGACCCCACGCCCCACGTGTTGAGTGTGTGGCTTAAAGTTAAGTGTTTTCTCTCCTATTCCGGAGGTTCTCGGTGGGAGAAACGGTAGAGACATGCTCTGTAGATAAAACACAACAAGGATAAAGAAGTTGTTTTAGTGCTATAAGTCAGAAATTGCATTCCATTCAAAATACATTACAACACGGAGAAATGACTAACTTATGAGAAGTGAGACCCATGCAAGGCCAATAGATAGACGCTGGGTATCTGTGAATAGGCGTGGAATGAACAGGAGCACTTAACAGGGAACCACTGAATAGTTATCACTAGTGTCAAGTAAAACTAGCGCTCATAATTAAACAGTCAAGCCACAAGAATAAAAAAAAGGAAAAATGGATGAAACAAAAAAAAACACCTAGACAAGCCAGTTGCTTGCCGTGATAAAAAAGGTCACATGAAAATCAGACCCACTCACGTCCGTGAAATATGGAATCGCTGTCCGATGCGTAATAATTCATCTTGATAAGCACGCGCCTCGCGCACATTACCCATCAAAGTATACATTTCAGCCACCTGGTGACAGCCTCGGATCAGGAGACGAGTACCCATCCAGAGGTTGAGCAACTCATTATCTAAAACCCAAAAAGTAGTAGTAGTAATGCAAAAAACTGAAATGCGCCGCAGCCCGTCGGTTAAGCTTTCATCACATATGGCCAACACATTGGGGGGGGGGGGG